CATACTCGTTATTCTAGTAAAATTTAAAAATATAATACTTTGTTATGTATGTCAACAATTTAGGTTATATACTTATTAGAGTCAAAAAATTAAGATTTTGACTTGTATGTATGTGCTCTATTTCCTACATTATATTATAATAATTATATAATATTCAAGTGAGGTCACAGTGAGCCAAAGTTCAAGTTGTTTCTCAAAGACTAATATGTTTTTAACACATCCTTCTTACAAGTAAAAAGTTAGATCATGAAAGATTAGAAGTAACTTAGTGAGCACACGCCTAATTATTCAAAAACAATGTAAGGAATATTTGATGCAGAAACTATTCATATAAAAAGTATTCACGAACTATGAATAATAGATGCATGAGGAGATTCACTAGTAAATAACTTGACCTCCGGTCATTTTATCAAATTTTGCAAAAACTCAATTGAATATTTAGAAAACAGTCCCTGGCACATTTTTATTTCTAGTTTTTAAATTTTATCCTAACAATTTTATGACAGTTTAACTTAATTTTAAAAGAAACAAAATTCTTTCAGAATATTTGTTTGAAATCAGACAAATCATATATTATCACAGATCATAATTATCACAAATCATATCATATATTATATTATCACAAATCATATCATACATTGTATTACACAAATCATATATTTGAAATCATATATTTCATTTTATTTAAATTTACCACTCTGTTCATTATGCTTTCTGCATTTTAGCCTCAAATTTTCTGAAAATTTTTGTATCATTCCTGAAGAGATTTTGACAATGATTATGAACAAAGAGATTTTCATGATTATTCCTGAAGAGATTTTGATAATGATTATTAGCACTCGAAAATAATATGAATAGATGTCAGATAATGCATCATACGGTAATTCTGTTCATGACTTTCTTTAAAACTGTTTTTATTCTGCAATCAAGACTCTACTAACCTTCTAAATACTGATGATCAAGTATTTTTTTTTTCTGCTAACTTGCTATGTACTTTTGATAAGTTCAAAAATTTGAAAACTCAAACTACAAAGTTTCTTACTATATTTCTAAAGTAAAAAGCTGAATAATCGTTTATTCAACAGATATTAACAGATATCTTACAAAGTGTACAGGTTTCTGTACAAAATACATAATGTTACGGTGAATGACAAATGTTATTCAAAGTAGAGAACACACTTGAGATTTGATATTTTCAGAATAGAACTACTACACTAGCAAGTCACACAGAGAGAAGCTCCCAAAAATTTGGATTACAGTCAAAGTATACTTCAAGTCATCAAGCTTATTTGTTCCGTCACTAGTAACTGTGTGCGACAATGGTAAGGTCCATGTTTTTCTCTAATTTGCTAAAATTTCCCTCTATGTAACTCAGAGTTTACAGGGATATTTAGTTATGATTTCAGAAACGCATATTTGAGTATGATTTCAGTTTAGTAAGATTTTACGTGAACTTAATAAGAAATACTAGCTTTCATATAAAAGCGAACTGTGTTCATCGTAAATGTAGAAACTTTTATAAATATGTTCTGTTATTTTTCTGGATGTCGGTACTGATTAAGGTTATACAGTTTACTGTATTCTTTGTTATGTTTTCTTTTTTTAGACTGTAGTTTTTGCTGTGTTTTGCAGTTGCAAAATTCTGATTTTGGAAGTGACGAAGAAGGTTTATTAGAGGACGATTCGTTGAGTGATTCAGAAAATTCAAGCACGAACAAGACTAAAAGCATAGAAGCAGGTCATTTTTGCTAATCCACTTTTTTTAATTGATTACCAAAATTTAATTTTGTGGATGTGTTTATACTCTTAGTAGATATTAAGTGCAAGTTAAATTAAAGCCATTAATAGGACCTAAGTCATATTTCATAAATTGTGATTCTTTAATGATGTTAAAAAATTTTAATTTTAACTGGAAGCTTTATGCAGACTTAATAAAATTCATGCTGTTTTTTTTTTATTTCGTAGAATTCATGTTTACGGTTATAAAAGTTAATTTACAGTTAGTTTTATGTTTACAGTTTGTTTAGTCCTAGTTTTTTGTTCAGAAGGCGCTCAGAACAATTTTGCTTTAGTGTATGTTTTTAATGCTCATTTGCAGAAACAACAATGAATGTTGAAAGCGAAAATTCCTGGCAGAAAGATATTTGGCAATTTAAGCATTTACCTTACTATGATGAAATGATGGTAGAAGCTGATGAACAGTTTAAGTATAGTTGAATTTTTTTAAAAAAATAATTGTCTTTATTTGTGCCAAAAATCATTATTTCCTATAAAATTCAATTTTTGAGATTAGTTTATGATCTTTTTTTTGCGAAAAAAGTATTTTTTATAAAGTGTGCATCGAAAAAAAATGATTTAAGATATAATTTCATGTTATATGTAATTGTTTTATCCGCTCCCAAACTGTTTTTTAATTCTTAAACTTATTAATTTTACTGAAGTTGGGTTAGCTATGATTATTTTTCATGTAATTGTTTTCTATCAAACTGATTAAATCAGCTTCATTTTAAATAAGATAATTTAGCTAAAGTTCTTCCTAAAAGCGCTGTTATCATTTTAAAATATGCACTAATTGAAATATAATTTTGTAATATAATTACGCCCAGTTATTAATTGTCAAATATTTTTCCAGGCACATCAAGTACGGTTTAGTAAAGACTATATTGCTACGAGATATACACCCTGGTTTGGTTATCTGGCTGCATGAGCTAGAAAAGTAAATTATATGATTTTATTCATATTTCTGTTTCAAATACATAGAGTCTTCAAGCTCATAATTCAATTTTACTTGGGTCTTAACAGTCATCGAACTAGATGCTTAATTAGTGAAATTTAATATTTTTCTCACGTCTTACTTCCTTATTGGATATCATTTGTTGGTCTCACGAAAAAAAAAATGCGGCATTGTTTTATCAATTTGATATGATAAAGGTATTTGATAGAACTTAATACAATTAATATTCAGGTATATTGGTTTGTATTCCCGTCGCTTTTCGAAGTCAGACCATATTTGTCTCGTGAAGTTATGCTATAGTTGCATGACAATGAAGGACGCAGATTTTCAAATTGTCAAAATTTGTGCTCAATCATTGACTAATCTATTATAGTTAGCTTTTATATTATTTTAGTACATGAAATTGTAATGCGGAATTGATACTTGCTTTCTTAGTTTTTAAGAGCTTTTTGCTGTAGCTGATGAATAGAACAGAAATTTTTTTTTCAGCTATTCCTCCTTATATGTATTCTAATTCTAACATAATAATTCAAAAATAGAGAGAGCTTATAATGGTTAGGATGAAATTATCATTGTTGTTGTGCGAGAACGGTTAATTATTGAAGGATGGGATATATATATCACAGTGGGATTTATTAGAACCATTAATGTGATTAGTTCTTGATTATTATGTAAGGATTTTGGTGGCCAGATAAGAATTATAGTGATCATCGAGTAATAGAGCTATTATATATATGATGTAATATTAATTAGAATCCTTTTTTGTTATGAAGAAAATCAAGAATATATTCGTGAAAAATCTAATAGTAAGTTTTAAGTCGAAGGAAACTGTTATCAAGACGTGATCTAATACTTGATTGGAAACCGCTGTACGATATTCATGTTGAAGTGAGTCACAAAGGTTTAGAACAATATGGAATGTTTCTACTTCCAGACGGAATAAAGTCTATAGTTGAACAGGTTACTTCTACATTATAACAAATTTTTTAGCATCTCAGTGCACTATATCATTTCAAAAATAATGTGTTTTAATATGTTACTCAATAGTACTAAAGAAAAAATATGTCTTTTTTTCATTTCTAAAAATTCTTTGTTATCAGTATTATTTAAACCCTTATTCTTTAGTACCATCGTAGTCTGTTATTATTTTCAGACAGTTGCAATTTGCAGAACATATTTCAGCTTAGAGTCTACTCAACAAATTTTGGATGAAGTAAGTTCATTCAAATACTGAAATTTTTCACATTTTCAACATATGATTTCTTTCTATACTTATTATTTTGCAATTGTTTTTAAAATACACACTTTTACTCTTGAAGTGAAATTTATTATAATTTATATTTCTTCAATACCGAAATGTAATATACGTCAAGATATATTTATTAGAAGCAAAGCTAGAGACTTTAAAATTTTTTCTTAGCCAAAAGTAGATTCCTTTCTGCTGTTTTTCATATTAAGTAAAGAGACCTCAAACATTTCGAAACTTGTATGCTTAATCTCAGTACCTCATGAATTACTATACTGTGATTTGTTATATGGTGGTATAAATGACAAATAGCGATTAGTTCAAATTTGATATTAATCAAATTTTTTGATTTGAAATAGTGATTTAGAATATTTTAAAATAATTAGGTTGTTTTATTTGAGAATTTCAATTTTTCTATATATCCATTTTTTAAAGGTACGACCGTTCATATGCCCATGGGATGAAAGTATGCTACGAGCAATGAGTACGTTAAATTTGTTCTTGCCGACTTGTATGGAGCAAGCAGTGCACAAAAAGCACGGTGCTGTTTTATGGTTTGAAGAAATTTGGCACTGGTTTACAAAGCTCGAGAACAATTCAGTCTCTGAATCTAAACTAGGAGGACTTCTAGCGCGGTATTAATAATAAATTATCGTTTTCTGACATGGTAGTTCTCATAGAATCTCATTGAGTTTATTTTTTAGGCTGTTTCATAGTCAACTTTTTTTCCAGAATTTCATACTGTTTGCTTTATGAAAGTGCTGGAAAGACAAAGTTATCTTGACATTCAGCCCACTGATTCTTTTGCAAGCACAGTTACGCAAATGGGATGTGGTCTTGCATCAGCTACCCAGTGGGAGCTTCATTGCCGCGTATTTCAATTCGCCGGTTAGGTTGTTGATGAGCAAAATCATGTGGAATTGGTGAAAACTTCACAAAGTTTATTTCTTATGTTTAAGCTTAGCTCGCGAATGCCCTGGTTTGATAGACTGGCATGATAAATATGATGTGATCATGACTCGGATACTACGGACATTAAATTTGGAAGTTGGACAAGGTATTGATCGGGTAAAAATTTCCTCGGTAACTTCGCTTCATATTGATCACGGTGCTGTTTGGGTAGCGTATATGCTTGGTGGAGAAGACAATGGGTACATTTCATATTTCGTCACACTCATAAACTGAATATAGAAAATAATTTTTGAAAAATTTTAGAGTAATGAGAGCTTTTGAATTTTCTGAAAATTGACAATCTGCCTGAATTTTTCTTCCCTAATACAGGTAGAAAATTACTTCTGAAAGTTGAAAGTCTTTCAAGTTCTACATTCCATAAGTCTTTTTGTTTTAGAATTCAATCTCACCTCACTCGTCTTTTCAATTTATTAGAATCTTATTTGTATCCTTCGAATTATGGAGTTCATTCTGTTACTATACTTCATTTTCTATTAAAATTGGTGAATCATGTATCTCAAAGATTACACAGAGAGCGATATCAAAAATCAAGTTGCCATCCTCAGGTTTTATATTTTACTGTCTAGTTAAACTTGAAAATATTTTTTTTTGGACGTTCTGCGGAATAATTTGTTACTAAAAACCAAATTCTTTTGAAATAAACTGATATTCACAACAAAACTTCAGATTCCAGCAAACATGCGCTTAACAAATGCACAACTAGATGAGTTTGTTGAGTCTGTTTTACCGTGTGTCAAGCTTTCACTTTTCGCAAAATATAAAATAGAGTATGCACCAGCCATAATTCGTAGTCTATCGCATATCGCACCACGGATTGTTGTGCCAGCTGTTCTTGACTTGTAAGTATTTATAAATATAAAGAAGGTCATCATCGGGGACTAAGCAAATTCAATAAACGGCTGCTCAGATTTAGTTTTGCTGTGATTTGATTTCCTGACTTTATAGTGATTAAATGTGTTTTGTTGGTGGCATGGTTATTGATTAAAAAATTATTTTGATATTTTATCATTTGTTTACCGATTTGTAGAAATGTTACATGTGCTGAGTTCATCAATTTAGCAGTTTTAGTCTACAGATTGTATATTTATAAATATTACTCATATTGTAGGGTTTATCCTGCACTTGAGTCAGTTATTGAGCCTCATCGCTTAGTCCAATCCATGAACGCCCTCACAGCAGTCTGCGTTTCATTAGCTCGTGATAATTCTAATTCGGATGATTGCAAACGTGCTCCTTTACATGCAGTAGAGGCACCATCGGGCAGGCCGTATCGCAATCATGCCATAGTTTTGCTCAATTCAATTTTGCCTGGTTTGGATGCTAATGATATTTCAAAATCGTTGCTCACTTTTCAGGTTTGTTTGTTTTCATATGTAATATGGAAATTAGTCCCTTGTTAGTTAATTTTTTACGATACCTTGACTAGTTCGGAAAGATGTAAGTTGATATATGTATTGCTAACTCCAATAGTTTTCAAATCTAAGCCGTGGATAATGTTGGTGTATCGTTTATTACAGCTAGGAGTTAGTAATGGAGATGAAAATTAGATATAGTAAAAAATCTTTTACATCTGCATTTGTTTTAAGATTTTTCTTTGATCATTTATATATTACAGGTAATAAATTTGTTGTTCACGTTGATACCAGTTGTTGATTGTTCGGAAGCTGTTTATCTGCGTAATGACTTGACAGAAGAAGAGAAAGAAGTTTGTTCAGCAACAGCAAATTTCGAGACTATTGTAGAAAATCTTATGGACAAGTAGGTAGCAGTGCGCAACTTTGTTTGCACTGGCTTCTTAATTTTTTATTTCTTATTAATTGTTGTTTTAGACTGATAGAGATCATTCATACTTTCACTGGAGGTGCACCAATCGTATCAACAATTCAGGGCTCTTTAATTGCTAAAACTCAGTCTAAACTTTCTGTAGAAGAAGCTGTAATAAAGCGAGGCATATTTTCTGTATTTCGTTCTCTTCTTGAAAATTGCAGTACCTCAATTTATAAAGTGAGCGACTAAATCTGTATTGATTTCCTTCATTTTATATACTAAAAACCTGGTTTATGCAGTTTTCGTTTTTAAATAATTATGAATTTTTTTGACTTATTCTATTAGTTTTTTACTTCTTACGTTCAATCGTTTTTACAAACATAATAAAGACAATGTTGCATCTTCAAAAATTTCTCTGTATTTCATCATTGCTGGATATGAACAAAAATAATGCATCGTTTAGAATTTATTTTTCTAGATTGCCGTTAATAAGTTGTATGATTTTGTTGCAACAAATATTTATGATAATCGAGTAGCCGCGGACACAGTTTCAGATATGGTTTTCTGTGCTGCTAGAGTAAGTTTTTTATTTGAATTTCATTAATTATGAAACTATTTCGATAATTTTCCTGAATTTTCAGCAATGTATTGTAGTGCATTCAATTTGTACATATATCTGCGTAGTCTTCTATATTTATGTTTAAAAAATCAGATTTTAAGTGCATTTTGTGCTAATTTGTTTATAAAAGTATATCAAGCCATTTTTGCAGACAAATCCACCAGAATCTTTGGATCGATTTCTGGATCTCATTATAGAAAAATTGGTACCATTAATAACAGGTATGTTTGACATTCTTATATGTTTGTGTTTGTTCGATTAATCAATCATCTGATTAATTGGTGATTTTTTTTGCCATTTAAAGGTGGGATGTTTTTGAAAAATAAGTTTCCCTTTAATGACAATGAATCTGTTTTTAAGAAGAAGTTTACGGTGAGGAGGATTTGGATACTACAATTGTATGGTATCTTGTACTAGCGTCTCAAATGTTCAGAATGCCTGGATTGCATATTGTGTCACATAAGAATAAAATGCTTACTCTGTTGCGAATGATATTGCCCTTAAATTCACGTACTGCATGTGAGGTTAGTAGATCTGGAACTATTTTTTATATATAAATAAAATAATTTGTTCCCTCTCGTAGTTCAAAACTCTTGTGAAAAAATCTTTTACGTTTTTAAATAAAAAGATGTGTATTGTCTCGTGTCGATGATGCTACATACAATACAAATAAAGGTTCAAGTTCGAACATAACAAAAATACTATGCATACTCCTGACATCGGCTGAAAATATTAGAGAGAGATTAAATGATCTTGATATCTTTTCATGTTTGGTAAATACTGTAAATACATCTGTTTCAGTTGTCGTGTAAGGCTTTGGAATGCATGTTGACATCACTGACATTCATTTACATTGATACCGATGAAGAAAGGCGTAAAATACTTGATCAATCGCTTGAGTGCTATTTACCTGTTCGGGTTTGTGTTGCTAATCTGGCAGAATTATGGCTTTTTTTTAGCCTTTTTGAAGTGACGTTATAGAGAACATATGAAATCTGAAGGCATTCAGAATCATGATGTAGGAAACCTTGAGCATTTAATGTTTATCTCGTTTCTTACCAAATGTTATCAATATCCTCCATTTCAGAATTGGGCAAAACTAGCGGATAAAAAGACATTTCAGCTGAAATGGCATATACCAATAGAAGTGGAATTCGAACTGGCATACGCTATATTGGATGAATTTTTTTATCCTCAATTGAAAAAGTTATCAGATGCAGATTCTTTATCTAAGTTAGTTACTTATTTGTTGCTATATTAATGTTTTTTTGTTAAAAACTAGTTCTCTAATATTTTTGGCTTTTTCTGTTAAAAAATTTTTAATTCATAATTTGAGAAATTTAAAGGAATTCTCTTGTTAATTAAAATAATGCTGGGGCTTAAAATAAATTACAGAACTGGGATGTTGAAAAGCTTAGAGATTGTAAGTTCTTGTCTTTCTTCTATATCTGGAGCACTACCACCTCTTGGTGGAAAATTGATACAGTTAACAGATTCTCCAATAGAAATTTACCCACTTCAGTACATCATCGCCCCAAGTTATGTAAAAGGTAATCTTGTCTTGCTTTTTTATTAACGTACCATTTGTAAACCTGCTTTTTATTTAAGTGGATTGAAGATTAGGGTTATTTCATAGTGTTAATATATCACTTTTTTTTTTTTGATGTTATAATTTGATATGATTAATCTCACAGTTATGACATATCGAGGCAGCAATATTCGAGATCTTGTATTTGAACGGATAAAGAATGTTGCTGAATATTTATTGCACTATCGCGAAAATGATACCAAATCATTATCTGTTGTATGTAGAATTTTAAATATCTTAGTCTTCCAACGTGGTATCGATCGAGTTAGTCCATTCTTTAATTCATGTGTTAACTTGTTATTTATTAAGATCTGCAATTCAAATGACACCTATATTCAGATGAAAATGCAGAAAATTTTCCTATCATGAAATTCCACTGGCAGCCGTATAGTGACAAAATTTTAGATCTTTTACATTATTCAGGATTTATCCTACTAAATTCTAGTATCGCTTGTGATAGTACTTCATTTTTAGGGTGTCTAAATTTTGGTAAAACACCAAATATTCATCAAGCACTTATTAAATTAGTTTGTGGTACTTCCACTTGGGTTTCAGGCAAAGTTTGAACTTCACAATCAAAATTACTTGTTATCGAAAAAAACTGTTGGAGATGCAGTTAAAGGAAAAAAAGCAAATATTGAGAAAGTTGTATCTGAGTATCTTTTGATGCATCATTTTGTAAGTTTTAAATAAAATAAAAACCTATCTGACAGTGAAATTAATATCCATTCTCATAGTTTTATGGTGATCTATTTTTTCAAATTATAAACGTAGCTATGATTTTTGATTATGAAAAACCATATTTTTAGTCTGTTCATTTTTGGAAAGTGATTACTTAATTTTCTTCATTGGCGGGGGATCTTAACCCTAGTTGCTGAAATGTTTGAGATGTCGTTTTTAATATTTTTAGATATATATTTATTTTATAACCCTAAACTTTGTTTATTGTGGGAGAGCTAAGATTTGTTTTGGCTTTAAAGGATGCAGAAACTATTTTCATCTAAAGAATCATAAATTTGCATTTTCGATTTATCTACAGACTTATGATTGTTTTTTTTAATTTGCATCACTAGAAAGAGCAGAAATTTCAGAAACGAACATTGACATCTAGTGCATATTACTTTACGACACAGCATTTAGAAATAATGAGATTGTTAGTACGACTGGGTACGAGTCTTTACAGTGCGGTATGTTATTTTAATTCAGTTTTTTAAAACTGAAGTGATTAGTTGAATTTTTTTTGAGTGAATTCATAAGAAATCAATGACATTTTGGTGTAATGAATTTTCAGACTCGAATTCAAGCTCAAAAGATATTGAGTCACTGTATTCAGAATTTTTTTCTCTCATATCGTCTTATATTAGATGATATCCTCTCATTTCTCAAAGAATCGCCAGACATATCGCATGAACAGTTTAAGGTAAATATTACAGCCAATAATATTTATTTGCATCATCTTTAGCACTTTGCAATTTGCTGTTGATTAATTATGCTATAAATTTATAGTCTATGATCGATTAATTAAGTCTCTATAAGCTGATCAGAAGTTGCTTTTGTCTGGAAGTTTGTGATTTCGAAGTTTTTTGGGTATAATATAATGGAAGACTTTCTTATTTTTCCGAAGTTTTTCTAAGACCTTCTTAAAATTGCTGCTTAAAGTAATCCACACAGATTTCTTTTAGGGTGCTTTATACATGCTTTTAAATGGCGAAAAATTTGCTATTTGTGTTCGAAGAAATTGGGCTACTTTGGAGAAAGTGTGGCCAGCTCTTATTGAAGCACAACATTCTGAAAAACCTTCTGTGATTGATCTTTTGGATTTGGCCCAAAATACTCTCATCCACGATTTAGAATCATTCCAGATCAAGTTTCAGGTGGGTGATGTGTATTTCTTTTTATTCATTTAATCTTCAAACTTTGTGTTTTAAACTAAAGAAATAGGTGTATTTATGCAGTCTATTGTAGGTTGTTCAAGTAACCATCATATTTTGCAACTTTATGCAATTTTAGTTATGAATGCATTTGATTTCTATTCTTAAATTTTTTGAGCATACGACTTCATTGCCTAAAATTAGGAGCTCGATCTTTTCAGATGCCGGAAGAACCAATTACTGAAGCCTTAAAATTATATTCAGCAGCAAGTGGTGATGGTGTGCATCGACTTGCATGGCTTTTGCCTAATGAAGAGGAAATCAAAGCTTCAATCGGGAGAGAAAATAGTCTTTGTCAGCATAATGAAAAGTAAGTAAATTAAAATTGATTGCATAAGGTATAGCTATTTTACGTGAAACATCCGAAATAGAATCAATGATCTAAATCCTAAAAATCTGTTGAGAAATTTTATCGCGCACTATAAAATTTTAATTAATTCAAGCAAAGTTATATATGGTTAAATCGGGAATCGATATAAAACAATTTAATATCATAAAACTATTCAGAGTCACTGGTTTAATGGGAGCATTCATATAGCTGTGCTGAAATTTTAAATTATGTTATTTTAACGAAAATAAACTAAATCAATTTGTTTTTTTAAATAATTAGAACTCAAACGAATAAATCAAAGTTGATCAGTTCTTCCTACATATTTTTAATATTATCAGATTATATTATTCCTTGTGTAATCGTTTGCTAACACTTACAACTCAATCGAACCTACATTGGCGACATTTTGAAATGGCGCAGTGTTCTCTTTCATTACTCATCAGACGAGATATGCCTTATCCACCTGATGCAATTAAGTAAGTTTTTTATTCTTTTTTCTTCTGAAAACAGATTTTAGTAAACACTTTCAACTCACCCGAATCTACGCGACATTTCAAAATGGCTTTATGTTTTCTTTCATTGTGATCATTATGAGTAATAAGAAGCAAGCTTGAACCTCGATGTATATATAAGTGTCTACCGAAATCTGTCTGTTCTATCCTATTTAGAGTACAACATCGCTGAAAATCCTGCTGTCGAAAATTTGTTTATTCATTTTTATTAACTTTATTTGCATCATATATTTTTGTTTATTCAGTCATTTATGTATCATTTGCTTTTTAAGTTTATTTTAATACAAATACAACTTTTTTCGGCAGATTATTCATTCGACTCCTTGTTAATGATACTTATAAAACGAGGTGTATGGCTACAGCCTTACTATCTGCTTGGTTCCGTATTACAAAACCAAAGGCAAAAAAAATACAATTTGAAAATCCCGTAAAGGTAATCTTTAAATAATATTTTGTTGAGTATTGAATCCTTCTCATTGTCAAGAATTAAAGTTTGTTTTGTTCTCTTACAATAACTTAACAAGTGGAATTTAATACATTTTATCTTTACTTACTTTAATATTTTGAAGACTTATTATAACATAAAGTAGTATTTTGGTTAATGTTGGTTAACTTACTATGCATTATATATATAATACTTTGATAGTTAGTGAATGCTGGTCCTGGCGCCGTCTGGCCTGTAAAATACGGCTACCGAATGGACAATATGATTACGGTTTATGACAATAAAAGTGTGCCGCGTACTGCGGAAAATTGGAATTCCACAATATTTTCGCACAAAATGCACTTAGGTTTCTACACGTGGCCCAAGTGAGTTCTTATTATTTTTCACTTCAATATTTATAGAAATTCATTGCAAAAAATGAGCTAATTGTGTTTCAAGAACTTTTTTTTTCTTGTACATGGTTTTATGAACTAGCTTCTAGAAAAATATTTATATTGGAAGACCTTCAGTTCTAATCTGTTATAAATACAACATGATTAAGTTTTCCAGTTAAGCGTTATTATATACAATAAAAATCTACTACTTTAGTAAGTATACTTCTATAATTTGGAAATGTCCTTAATTGTGTCCAATTAAATCAAATTAATTTTCATGATGTTTTTTAAGGATTATAAAAGTACCAGCGCCAGCCAATGAGCAAAAAGCAAGTAATCTGACTTTTGATGAATTAAGTGAAGTTGATCGTTTTGTGGTGGAAACATTTCGAGATGAAGAATTTGCTCTTAAATATAGGCAGTATATGAGTGTTGAAGAGAAAAAATGTGATGAATCATTTGATAGTACTACTTACGCTTTCTTTTACGTTAGTTTTCTTCTGATTTTAACATATCTAAAAATTTGAATAAATATAATAAAGTGATTGGTGGTTTCAGTGGACTATTTTTCAGCTTCAGTCAGGAGTATTTTCTTAAAATTAGTATTTAAAGGACCGAAGTCTTATTTTTGTGAATTATTTCTTTTGATTCGATTTATTCAAAAATCAATCGCTACAGTAGTTGTGAATATGCATTTAAAAGTAGTTTTTTAAGGGTTTGTTTCGGAAATATAATGATCTCTTACTTCCAACTTTCAAAAAGCATTTCGAGATTTTGCTCAATAGCAAAAAGGTATAATTTCTCACTCGCAGTATTTGTTATGTCAGTGGTCAAAATTATGACTCTTTCTCTGCTTACTGTCATATTGATATTTGAGTTTTTAATATAGCCATAACAATGAAATCTCTTTTTAGAAATTTTTTTCTCTAAATGTCATTAGTGCTTCCTAATCTCATTATTACACCAAACTGCAGGAAGGTGAACAGCGACTAGCATCAGAAATGACCGCTGGTTTGGTGAATGGGAGTAAATTGTGGACTTTTGAAAAGATTTTATCAATGACGAGCTGGCTTAGACCATTACTATTTAGCTGTTTAGAAACAATTGAAGATGAGAACACTAAATGTTGGACAAAAGCATTCTCTATAATTTTCTCATCACTTGATCCGAAAGCGCTTTCCTGGTTGATTGAAATGCTATTCGCATTAAGCATGAAACCAACAGATAGTAGTTTCCATGCTACCACGTATGTTCATTTCCCCATTTTTATTATTTTCCTCGTCTTGTTGCTTTATGAAGTTTTTATACGTTGCTCAATTATATTGTTAATGATCTTTGCTATTTTATAAAAATAAAATGTATATTTTTTCTAAATTTTTATTCAGTCGAAATTCTAGCTTTTTAATTAATTCGTAGTACCTATCCTAAAATGCTGAATTAAATTCAACTCCCATCATCATGTTACTGCTCAGCCTTTCTCTATTTTAGACGATTACATTTTCTACATATTGCGTTGGGTGAATGTGAATGGCGAGTAACTCAATTGTGGAATCAGCTTTTTGAAAGATGTTTGGAAACCATGGAAGGGTCATATCAGAATTTGCGTGAAGGCATTGGCACTACTATTGCTACTATTTTATGGTTTGATCAAGTGGATTTATTCATTGATCCTCAGATTCCCAAACAGTTTCATCCGAAAAAAATTGTAGATGCAATGAACCAAATTGACACAAAGGTATTTGTCAAATTGAATTGTATTTTTTCTACTTGCCTACGACCACTTCTCTAGTTTTTCATTTTCATTAAATCGATTTCTACTACATTGTTTGATTCTTCCAAGAACTTCAGAGATCTTTCTACAGAATGAGTCTTTGATTAATATTCCCAATTTATTTATGGTGAAGAGAAGTTATAAGAGCATATGAAAGTGGTAAAAAAGAAGTTAATTTCTCGATTTGTATTTCGGATAAAGGCTAAATTTCATGAGTTACATTTTATACCTGCTTCATATTTTAAAAAAAAAGCCCAGGTTTGAATGCATATTTAGGAATCAGCGTCAAAGAACTTGCAAGTAGACAGAGTGAATAATGATTTACATCAGTTAATTTATTGGAATGGTAGACATCGTCTTGCGACAGCGTTTTGTATTCCACTTTCTATTGTCTTATCCTTTTTTTAAATGCATTTCTTAACGTGATATATTGCAATCTATGAATTTCTATGCATTATGTTTTGTTATAGCTAGAACTTCTGTGGAATGAAGTTAGCAGAGCCAAACAGAGTTTTAGTACAGATCATGATTACTGCATCACTAACGAAAGAATTGAAGGAAATGGCGGTAACGGATGGAGAAAAGTATGTAGTGGTTTTTTAATGTTATGAATTGATTGTTATTGAAGTCGAAAATTTCGCGTTCATTACTAGAAAGTCTTTTATGTTCCTTCTATAAAATTTAACCAGCGAATGAGTTTTTAGGCAATCATGACGTTCAAATGTGCACTTAATTATATGGATTCACATTGGATGCAGTCGTTCACAGCTCTACCACCTGCCATTTTCAATGTTTTACCTTTACTTTTACATTTTGAAAATGAAACCAGGTAAATTGTTTACTGTGAACCTATGCATTACTGACACAGTTGTTTTTATAATTAAAAAAAATATTTGAATGCATACATAAGAATCAACGTTAAAGAGCTTGCAACTAGATGGGATTAATAGTGAAGTGTGTCTTTTTGAATCGAACCGTTTTTTAGTTGTTTTAGATAACTGATATTCCATTGATATATAAGAGGCAAAGATGCAGAATGCTGCTCAACATGATATATGGATTTCGATGTTTTTTAATATATTCACTAATAATTTTCAGTGATGAAGAGTTAAAATATAGTTGTCGCTGTCAGTTACGGCACGGAATGTCTCAGACTGTAGTAGTTGCCAAAAATGTAGAAATGGTATTATGTGGCGTAAAAGAGGTTGGTTGCTCTCTGGAAAATAAAAAAGCTTAATTTGTTACAAAGTTATAATTTACCTTTATTGTAATGGAAATCGAATTTTGTCATAGTATTCTTGTTGCTGTTAGATGATTTCATTATTTTTTTAGCAATATTCTTGAGAATTATTACATTTGCCTTTACAGTTATCATCATCAGCTGCTTCGTGGTGGAAACCCAAAGTTTCATTACTGAAGTATTTACAAGTAGCTGTTTTTTCTAATTTCTTCGTTTTCTTTCATCACCGTACAGAATTGCAAAATATTCTTTGCTGTATGATACTCGATTTTAAATTTGAAGTACGTATAGCTGCTGCAACAACGCTGTCGGGTTTTTTCCACTGTCGATTCCTAGACGTCGAAAACTTGCTTGTAGTAAGCTGCTTGTAATTTATTTTAGAATTAAGATTTTGAGGTTTATTTGTTTTGCTTTTTTTACGGTATTAAAAAATCTTCATCCTAAATTGAGAATAAAATATTTTAGAAGTTTTATGAGTGGTCACAACACGAAAATGATATAAAACGACATGCTGGAATTTTGGCTCTATCTGCAGTAGTTCAGGCATTCCCTTACTCGGTACCTTCTTTTTTGCCTAAAGTTTTGATGCAGTTATGCTCTCATACGTGTGACAAACAACCTATACAGGTAATTTTTATGTTATTGTTAAAATCAAAAAGTACAAAATCAGCTTTTCATTTGTTAATTCGAAGAAAACATTTGACATATATTTTAAAAAGTATCTTATCTTTTAATGTAATTATTTTGAAAATCGTAAACTAGTTTTTGATTCAAAGAGTGTAGAATTTTTAATACTAAAATGGTATATCGAGGATATCGAACTATTTTAAAATATTTGAAAAGTAGGTATAAAGTTTTCAGAGTACAGTGAAGAAGGCGCTGAGTGAATTTAAACGTACTCATCATGATAATTGGCATGAACATAAGATGCAGTTCAGTGAAGACCAACTTTCCATCTTAACTGATTTATTCGTCTCACCAAATTACTATGTTTAATTTCGAATAGAAGTTATGATGTTGTCTTTATAGCTGAATAGTCTTGGGTAGTGTGAATATTGTTATGATATCATTTTTAGAAATTTTCGTAGGTTTCGTCTAGCAAATCTAAATTAAAATTGCAAAAGTTCTGAATGTTTTTAAAGTTTTACATTTATTTTGGTCTAAAATATTTGATGGGAATGCTTGTTAAAATTCTTTAGGAGCTTATATTCACTGTTATTATTTGATAACAGTATAATAATAATAATACACTCTTTTGATGTGAGTATAATTTTTGTAGAGATGATGTCGAAAATTTTTAACATGTTCTTGCAGACAAAAAATGAAAATAAATACAATGCATTTGTTGTTTCTGTTTCGATTACAATAGCACAATGTGTTATGAATTTTTTTCACAATTTTTTTACAAGACTTCCCATCTTTGTTTGTTCGCAGCAAGCTGTTGTATATGAAATTCGTTATTACTTTCTATTTTAAGCTACCCTTTTTACAATACAATATTTTGTTATAGTCCTAATTAGATGGGAAAGATTAATTTGGGCAATTCATTAAAAATGATCCTATCTTACTACCAATTGCATTCCCTCGTGTGTTTCATCGTTCGGAACTTGTTCTATTTTTCTTATGAGTTTTATATGGTGAATAGGACTGTTTTATTCGATTAGAATTGATAATACTGTATGAAATGGGAATGATGCACATATTGGCTATTCTTGTTGTTTGTTGTCAATTATCTGGAAAACAGAAATGTGTAAATGATGTGATGTTTCATGATATCTTATATATGTCACATTTGCTTTTATTGCAGTCTCAAAACTCGTATTGTGTTTGATTTCGCCTGGTGCTTCTGAACTTATTGCGTAAAAGTTTTTTCTATTCCTTCTTATTTGATTATGTGTTAACATTTAGATTCAGATGGAGTTGATTCTGTACGAAAAAATCGATAGTTTTCTCAACTGATGGTTTATATATAACGTGGCCGTCACGCATTCGTGTGGTATGCGCAAATTAAAGTTGCCAGAAATGAACGTCAATGTAGTAAAGATATATGATGAAAATCCAGTCTAAATTCGTAGCTAAAAAACAAATAGTAAGACCGAGATTCATCATTTTTTTCATTTAGTACAAGTCAAGTGCAAGTTTAAGCTGTTCATTTCTTCGAGTCCTTTCAAATTCTGCTATTACTAGCCAACCCTTCCACATGCTTCAGTTCGATAAAAGCTGTCTTTCGTACCTTAATGAATTGTTTCTCGAATTTGCAGAAATGTATAATATATGCGGCGTAACTATCTGTTTTATGCTGATTACTTGCGAAGAAAATGACAGTTCGTAATTTTGTGCGTGCTTGGTTAGCTTTCACTGTGCTACAACTTATTGGTAATATCTGGCAGTGTTTTCTGCCTGGGAAATTCGTTACAGGTCAGTAAGTTTGTAAAGACAATTCAGAAGTATGAATATAGGCCCAAAGACTAGATATATGCAGTGGTGCTTTAAGATGATTATGTCAAATTCCGAAAAATACTCTGGACGAGTTGTTCTAGCATGACCTTAAAATATATGAAAAAACAGTGAGACAACTTACAAAATTATCTGAATTGACTGAGTCAAGGAAAAAACGTTATTTCAGATAAGAAATCCACTGCAGTACCATTTCTCGTGCATTATTGGATGATGTTAATATTACGGCTCTTTGTAATCTACTGTTTTGATTGTATCCCTCTTCAAGTATTTCATATCATTTGTTCTGTTACATCAGTGGCTTTCTTAAGTTTTGAAGTTTTCTACGTTAACTTTTTAAAGAAATCAACGGCTTTGAACATGCAGGTTGCTTTATCCGGTTAGTTTTTCTTTAGGTTGTATAACCACTCCAAACTCTGAAATATCATTTTTGTTATTTGTCTTGTTTATAATTACATTGTGAGCAGTGGTTTTCAAATCCCTACTAAAATCAAAATCATAACAAAATCAAATCATTCCCAGACCTAGCCATAACTTGTGCTATGGTCCTATAACTTCTTCTAGCATACAAAGTTCTTACTTCAGGCGGCACAGTGTTGCTCATTATTTCTACTTGGAAATATTTATTCACGGCTACGGAAACAAAAAAGAAGAGAAGAAAAACGTCAACTACCATGCATGCAATGAAACCTAGCTACATAAATTTTAAAAAACAAAATTAAAAGTTTCATTGTTTAATAACATATTACTAGAAAAGTCAATAGAGAATTTCGTCTGTATTTAAAATCTGAATGCTGCAATAAACGTTTAAATCAACATACACAACTTTATACTAGGCGAAAAGATAATTTTTTACAGACGTTATCAAATATGAGAATTAGCACTTCATCATGGTAATTTTTTGGCCCATCGTAGAAAGATATAATCATGAAAAATAAAATTAAAAACGTAAAGGAAAGTAAGGTTACCGCTACTAAAATACGCAGTGCATCATTACTTTCTCAAAATGATTGCAGAAATTCTCAGTAATTAATGGAATATTCAAAAGTAAACAATACACCAAATATTTAGGTGTTTTATTTAAACGAAAGAGTAATTTATTCAGAGGCAAATATTCTGGATAAAAATGCTTGAATTACTAATTATATCCTACAAGATTTTATATATACAAACCATGTATTTAATATTATTGAGCTCGTCCACAACGCTTAATAAATAAATAAATGAGCATACATATAGCATATCAAATACATATTCACTTTAAAATGTCGTATGTTTTCAATGTACTGAAATTATCTCTTAAAATATTCCTTGTATGTAAAAAAGACTTAAAGAAATTTGTGACAAGTTCAGCTTGCACACGCGCTGTCGAGATTTTCTTCTTTACCCAAAATAAAGTCTATATTGTCGCATATTTGTGCCTTAAATAACAAGCATAATATAATATGGTTATCATCCAATAATCGATTAATAACCGATTCAAAAATTACGGAAGCACTTTCTGTACAAACGCAAAAGCATGGCTTCATGTCAAGTAAGGACTGTTTTGGACTTTTTAAATTATATCCTACAGTATTTTATATATGCAGACCATGAACTTGTTCTATGAAAAGCAAATTGTAATACTGCGAAATAAAACTACAGGTACTGAAAAATTTGTCAAAAATATCAGTTACCTGATTTCGAGCAGGCTTAGCAACCGATAGTCTACGTTTGAATATCACACTTTGACCTGGCTTAATACCCACGGCTTCTGCAAATGGCCGTGGTATATGTAGTAGTCTCATTCGCTTTTTAGCACCAGTTATAGGATTTGAAATCACAACAACATTCGTTAAGTCTTCTTTAGATGCCTTTTGTTCAATCACTTGATCAACTTTATCAGACGATGGACCTTGTTGATTTTTAGTGCTTTCTTGATCGATTTTCTGTAATAAAGCAATTGATTAATAGCGTTGTCTTTATTTTATTACAGTGCTACAGAGCTTAAGCAACGAACTCCTAAACGATATTAAATATTACAAAACTCTATTCCAGTTAATTGTAGTGTATAATAGTTTAGAGACAGAACCTTGGGATCATCTGGAGACCTAGTTCTTCGTTTCTTCCGCAATATTGAAGGTTTGCAAGCATAAGTACGTCCCGAAGACCGGGATACAGAAGGCTGAAATCATACTTTTGATGTACTTTTTATTCAAGACTTATTTAAAAACAATTCTTTTTCCTTCATTTGTCTTACTAATACTCTAATTCTTCCAATTCAATCATTTATTTTGATGAAAAATGATAGATCTTAGGTTGATATGCTTTACTTGACCTTGTAGAAAATTAGTGTCCCTAATTTTTACAAACTCGTTGAACGAAAAAAATCTAAAAAATGATATTATTGCGAGAAAACTAATAATTGTCTAGAAGTGGAAAAAATATCAAATTAATAAAAAAAGTATAAAACATTTTCACATGATACTACCTTTATGACTTAAGCAACAAAATATTTCCTACTTTGATTCACAAATAATATACCCACCACTTCATCAAGCTCGTCTTCATTAGCAAAACTTTCCAAATATGTTAATGTCTTAGAAACCGGTTGCGTGATGGAACGTTGGATATATAAATGAGGAGCAAAATCTTCATGTGATGGATCGTTTGATGGCCGGCCTTGCCGAAAGTGTACGCCACAAACCTAAAAATTGAGATTAATGAAAAATACAGACTGTATCTATGGTCATAAAGTTTTTTATCCCACTTTTAGAAAAAACTTGTTAAAATTCCAGCCAGTTTAGAAGTAACTAATGAACTGTGATTAGTTTGTAAAAAGTAGTAACATGACAATGTTCCTGTTAGAATAGTAAATATGAAAACTACGAAGGAAAGAATATGTTACCACAACATTATGAGCCAATTTTTATTTAAGTAGAAAGCAGCTATAGTGATTACACAGTGCATTTAAACTGAAACATGAGTCTGCATTTATGACTTAACTAAATTTGTGATCAAAGATTGTTGAACTCTAAAGTTCATCAGTGAAACATTTATAAATGAGTTATAAATTCATCTAAAAATTAATATAGCTAACAAAAGTGGTAAAAATGTGGATAGCGAAACTGATTCTGGAATTTTTTGGCAACGAAAATTGATTCAATTCGATGACAAGATAATAGCATATTAATTGCCAGAATAACATAACTGTGAAATAGTAATAATTATAACTTGTCTTTAGGCGATATTTCTCGATCTCCAATTGCACATAACCAACGGACACGTTTCAAACCAGGTTCACGTGGAATGCCGAAGAACTTTAATGATGGATCGTTGGTACGTCGATACCAACCGCAGAATACGCATTTTTCCATTGATTTAAAAAATTGATATCTTAAACTAACTATTTCAATATTAATCAGTCACTATTACAAAACAAAAACGAATATACATACCATCATAAAACAAAATCATATGCTGTTAAAAAAAAATATTACATTAGTATTACATTAGTATTCCCGAGGCTGAACAGCTATTTCGTTATTAGGGTTCACATATTTTCGTTTTATAAGTAATCATTACTGCAAATAGAATTTCTTTAATTGTCCGTAAGTTTGGAATAATTTATAAATTAATTGATTATTGTTTGCAAAAAAATAATCAGTAATTAATAATGATAAATACATTTGATTAGTCTATAGAAAACAGGTTATTATTATGCTGCAGTAATGAAAATGCAAATTAGATTGCTAGATTTGTTGCATATCACAGAAAAATAATGTGTTTTTTCTCTTTTGGCACATTTTAATT